CCAGCAGGTCGAGGCTGCGGTGGCCGGGAGCGGCCACTGCACTCCAGTCTGGGCAACCGAGTGAGACTCCAACTCAAAAAAATAAATAAATAAAATTGTTTAAGGCCAGGTGTGATGGCTCATGCCTGCAATCCCAGAACTTTGGGAGGCCGAGGCAGGAGGATTGCTTGTGGCCAGGAGTTCAAGACCAACCTGAGCAACATAGCAAGACTCCATCTCTACAAAAAATTAAAGAATTAGCCAGGCATGTTGATGCATACCTGTAAGCCCAGCCACTTGGGAGGCTGAGGCAAGAGAGTCACTTGAGCCCAGGAGTTCGGGCCTACACTGAGCTGTGATCGTGCCACTGCACTCCAGCCAGGGTGACAGAGCAAGATCCTGTTCTAAAAATAAAATAATAAGAATAAAATAAAACGTTTTAAAGCCCTTCCCATCCTCTACTTTTAAATATCTCTCTGAGCTGCTGCTTCTGTAAAATGGAGGTTACTATTCTCTGCCTTCCTACTGGAATAAATTAATGAAAGGGTGCTTTAGAAAGAAAGTATTTCTCATTGCAACCTAATTTTTTAACTAGCCCCCAGTTGAGTCTTCTATTTCAGTAGTTCTTTTTTTTTTAACTTTCAGAATAATTGTAGATTCACAGGAGGTTGCAAAGAAATGTGTAAGGGATGTCCTGTGCACCCTTCTCCCAGTGTTAATGTGTTACACTGTCGTCATACATTATCAAAACCAAGAAACTAATGTTGGTACAATCCATAGAGCTCATTCAGTTGTCCTGCATGCTCTCAATATTTGTGTGTGTGGGCATAGCTCTATGTGATTTTTATCACATATGGCCTTGCATAAACACCAGCATAACCAAGACCCAGAACTGTGCCATCTTCCCAAGACTCCTTTGTGTTGCCCTTTATGGCCACACCCATCCCCTCTTCCCTAGCCCTGGCAACCATTAGTCTGTTCATCCCTCCAGTTACATTATTCACGAATGTCATGTAAGTGGAATTATGCAGTATGTGTCCTTTTGAGATCGGCTTTTTTGTTTTTCTTTCTTTTTTTTTTTTTGAGTTGGAGTCCCTCACTTTGTTGCCCAGGCTAGAGTGCAGTCACCGCAGCCTCGACCTGCTGAGCTCAGGCAATCCTTCCACCTCAGCCTTCCAAGTAGCTGGAACTACAGACATTCACCACCGTGTCCAGCTAATTTTTTGATTTATTGTAGAGATGAGGGCTCACCAAGTTGCCCAGGCTGGTCTCGAACCCCTGAACTCAGACAGTCCTCTCACCTCAGCCTCCCAAAGTGCTGGGATTACAGGCTTGAGCCACAGCGCTCGGCCTGGCTTTTTTCATTTATGTAATTTTCTTGTAGTTTATCCACTTCAGCATTTTTAAGAATTTATTTTGTAATGTCTTTAATATGCGATGTGTTCATTTGCACCTCTGTCTTTGTACATGCCTTTTCCCCTCCTGGAATACCCTCCCACATCTCTCTCTACCAGTCTATTTGTTTCCTTCTTTGGGGTGTCTCACTGCTATGTGCTTACGCCCATCTGACTCATCTCTGCTCCCTATCAGTTATGTATTTATCTCATACTATGTCATTCTCCATTTGCAGGTAGAAGGCAGGGACCATGCCCAACTTATCTTTATACTCTCATCATCTAGTATAGTGCCTGAAATGTATGAGGTACTCGGTAAATGATTTTTTGGATGAATGAATGATTGAAGTTGCCCTACTGGATTTTTAAATTGTGTCTTGGGTATATGTTGCCTTCCCAAGTAGACCGTAAGCTAGACTGGAAACTTGAAAGCACTCCATCCCGTTTCCTAGTGTCCATGAGGTCCCAGTTAGGGCTGCCGTAGATGTTTATACATGGCTTCAGTGAGCGCGTGCCTTTGTGCCTGTGGGGATCAAGTGAGGGTGTGTTTGTGGGCTGGTTTCCCAGCTGCCCAGCCTGACTTCCCACAGTCAGCAGGATGGACCTGGAGATGTCAGGACTGAAGACCCTGGAGCACGTGGCAGTGACAGTCTCCATCACCCACCCACGGCGTGGCAGCTTGGAACTGAAACTGTTTTGCCCCAGTGGCATGATGTCTCTTATCGGCACCCCCCGCAGCATGGACTCGTACGTACACCTGCCCACGGCCTTCTGAGCTCTCTTTGCAGCAAGGGTTTTTCCAAAGAAAAGATACAAGAGAGGTAGATACAGGCATTGTCCTGAGCCAGGGTGGCACTGGCTGTCCCTGTCGCCCAAGCTGTTGTCACATGCTTTCTTCAAGTGCTTGCAGTATGCTATGCACTGCACTTCACATGCACTTCTCCAACCCTCACAAGAAGCCTGTAGAGTACTTGGTAACCTCCTTTGACAAGTGAGGAAACACGTCACAGAGCTCATAAGCCCGAGAGAGTAAGAATAACACTAGGCCCGTGGCCCTCCCACGCCTGTGTCCTCTCCACTCCTGCTTTTCCACTGCAGCATGCTGACACAAGTCCTTCCTTCCATGAGATCCCAGGGGCAAGGGATAGCACTTGAGAACCAACCCATTATGGCGCCCTCCCAAGTTGCTGCAGCTCATTTCTGTGGCCACCGCAGTAAGAAAATAATGTTCCTAAGTAGGGGCCAGCTCCCTGTGCCATGCCCTACACATTTCCTGCCATGTTCTTTTTCCAGGGATCCCAATGGCTTCAACGATTGGACCTTCTCCACTGTGCGATGCTGGGGGGAAAGAGCTAGAGGGATCTACAGACTCGTGGTCAGGGATGTGGGTAAGCCTCCCTGCCCTTCCTCCAGGGCCCTGCCTCTCCTGCGTGTCATCTGAGCCCTCGATCTCAGAGTCCCCACAGGAGGTGTTCCATGTGGCATATATAGGGTTGCCATTGGCCCAAGAGGCTTGATGCCAAGAGGTATGCCCCATCCAAAAATGGGCACTGGTAACTAAAACTGTTCATTGATACTACCTCTCATATTCCTTGGAGAAGTGACTGATCCATTTTTCCTCAGGATAGCAACAAAAAAATCCTTGTTGAAACCACCTTTCACATATAACCATCCTTCGGCCAGCCTTGGTAGGCAGGTAAGGGCAGGACTAACTTTCACCATTTTTTTTTTCTAAATCTGGCCCAGAGGTTTGAAGAGACTTGTGGAAGGTCACAATATCAGTGAAGGTCACAATATTCATGAATACTGAATATCTGCCATATCAGCTGAGAGACTAGAAATTGAACCCAGCCCTCCCGTTCTCCAGTCAAGTTAGGCATTCACCAGACTGGTGGTTTTCAAACCTTTCTTTAATTCAGTAGAAAGACCTTTTTTTTCTAAGCAGAATCCCAGCTGAAACCTCAAAGTATTGGAGCTATAAGCAAAATGTCTGTGCTTTGGCGTACAACCCTTCAATTCCCTTTCCCACCCCTAAAGGCACCCGCGAGGCACTTATGCAGAATGCTGGGGTCAGGGGGCACACAGACAGACTGTGACCACAGCAGACCATGTGATCTGAGCCCCCTTGGGTGGCAGGGGCGGGGCCTCCACTGTTTGGCAAGGCCAGCCAAGGGTGTGGCCCCTGACCTGCCCCACTTGCTGCCCCAGGGGACGAGTCATTCCAGGTCGGTGTCCTCAGGCAATGGCAGCTGACCCTCTATGGCTCCGTGTGGAGTCCCATGGACATCAGGGACAGACAAAGGTAGGCACCGAGGGAAGCAACGCACAGGGGGAGGGGGCAAGGGCCACCCACTGAACCCGGCCGTGCGTCCCAGCTCATCTCAAGTCAGTAGCTAGACCCAGGACTGGGAGGCCACAGCGCATGCCGTCCTTGTTTGCCGTGGGACCTTCCTCTCTAAGCTCTAAGGTGGAGGATGAGTGCAGGCAGGTGGATAGAGCCATGTTCAGCACGCCATCCTTGGCGCTTTTCTTCCACAGGCTGCTAGAAAGTGCCATGAGTGGAAAGTACCTGCATGATGGCTTTGCTCTGCCCTGCCCACCTGGGCTGAAAATTCCTGAGGAAGACGGTTACACCATCACCCCTAACACCCTCAAGGTACTAGGGCCAAGACCAAGCTTCAGGCAGACAGGGCTGTCCATTTAGTCCTTGGTGTGCTGCTCCAGGCCTTGGAGAATGAAGGATTGAGATGACTGGGTCCCAGCGGTGGCTTCAGAGCATTGCTCCCACTCTACTAGCTAACTCTTAGAGGGCAGTCCTTGGGAGGGTGGGGGCGGGGGAATGGTTTGGGGTGGGAAATGCAGGCCCAGAAGGGAAGAGACTTTCTGAGCTCATTGCTCTGGGCTGAGAAAGGCTGTAGGCTTGGGGACCGTCCCTCATGCTGGTGCTTGACTTTTCCCAGACCCTGGTGCTGGTGGGCTGTTTTACCATCTTCTGGACTGTTTACTACATGCTGGAAATATATTTGAGCCAGAGGAATGTGGCTTCCCATCCAGTTTGTAGGAGCGGACCCTGCCTCTGGCCCCAGCGCAGCCGAAAAGCCAGGGAGGAGGGGACAGAGCTAGAATCAGTGCCACTTTGCAGCAGCAAAGATCTAGACGGAGTGGAAACAGAGAGCGGGGGCCCTCCTGCCACCTCTGGCCTCCTCACCCCAGACCCGCTGGATCGAGAGGACTGGAGCCTGTCCCAGAATAAGAGTGTCCTGGACTGCCCTCACCAGCACCAGCCCCTAGACCTGCATGGGAAGGATGAACAGATCTGCTGACCTCAGGACCTGACTGACTCCACAGGGGACAGGCTTTTCCTTCCCCAAATTGGGGAGCTCTGGGGAGAAAGCAGTCCTCATGCTGACATCTGAACTCGGAAACCTAAACAGCACCCTCACAAGGAGGGTGAGGGCCTTCTTAGGTCCAAGTGGGGAAGGATGGGTGCCAGAGAACAACCTGACAAGAGCCCCGGGATCTTCCTCCAGATGGACAGGAGTTTTTGGTGAGGAAGGTCTTGGACAAGGGATTGGCGCCCCCTTGGGGCAGGCCTCCACCCTCGTTCCTCTTGGACAAGCTGGTTGTCTAGCTCCCCCGTGCGTGGGACCCCCGCCTCTGCATGGGTTGAGAAGACGCCTGCCACGGCCAGGAGAGCATCTCAACAGAACGTCACAGGGGTCGCTTGGGAGGAGGACTTGGGGGTAAAGGCTGGGAAGAGGCCCCGGACGTGCCGTCCAGAAAGCAGCTTGACGCCTCATCAGAAGCCACCTCGAAAGCACCCCCAACTCCTCCGCCCCTGCCCCCTTCATCCTTCTGAGGATTGGTGTGACGCTCCTGGCACAGCTGGGATGGGTGCGGCTCCCAGGACCTGTGCTGCCTCATCAGGGAACCCTGCGGCAGGGCTGTTGAGCCGGAGTCAGACGTGTGTTTTAGGGGACAGCCTTGGGAGCCACTGCCACTCCAGCCCTGCGACCACCCTGTCTTCCTCTGCAAAGTGCTCAGGGAAATGGCCTTCTCCCGAGGCCAGCTGTCTGCCTGCAGGCTGTGACTTCCTCCCGTTCTCGGCCTTCCGCCCTCTTCGGAGCTGGTTGCTAATCAGTTGATTTGACATTTTTTAATGCTTAAGATTTGCTTTTCTCTTTTCACAGCAACATTTTGGAATTTTTTTCTGCACAGCTTTTCCAAAATAAAAACCTTCCAAACAATTCTCCACTTGCAATCTCTCCTTTCCTCTGCCTCCCCAAGGTTCAGGCAAGTTGCCAAGTGGCTCCTCTAGCCCTCAGTTCCTGAGAGTGGTTCTCCGATTCCACTGCCTGGTTCCTCTGAAAGAAACCGACCCTTCTGGAATCTTGGAGTGGGAAGGGTCCTTCAGAGGATGGCAGCCGGGAGCACACATGTGCTCAGGATGCCTGCCTGTACCCCACTCAGATTTTCTGGAGCCGTGACAGAAGTGACTCCGGCAAATCAAACTCTGCCAGCCAGGCCTGAGAAAAGATTGATGTATTCTTTTTCCTTTTTGAGTTTCAACCCCAAAAATATTCCAGGAGAAGACAGGGGGAGGGGGAGGCTGGGCTAGGTCCCCGTCCAAGGGCTTTTGCTGCCAAGGAGGGCAGTGGGTTTGCCCTACACCCAGGCTACCCCCAGCCCACTTCCCCCCTGCTTAGCCCAGGGGAGAGACAGCAGGGGTGGTGGGGGCACACGGGAGGGGGGCCAGGGCCGCGATGCTTTGGGGTAAGAATGGGGCAGAGGCTGGGGATCGGGGGAGGAGCTGCCCATGTGCAGTCACCTTTGCTCAGTGACAGAGCCTCAAAGCTTGGCCAGGGCAGAAGGACCCACAAAGTGAGGCAGGCTAAGCGGGATGGAGCGGGGCTGGGCAGGGCTCAGGGCTGGCCCTCCCCCTTCTAGCTGATGATCTGCCGAGGTCGCCCGTAGCCTGTCATGCCAGCCTGGGAGGCCCCTCTGTTGCTGCCCATTTGAAGGCCAATGACATGCTTTCCCTCCTGCAGTTGGCTCTCTGTGAACTCCCTCTTGTGCTCCTGCGCCTTCCTGGAAGGGGAGGAACCAGGGTAAAGACTTGGCCAGGACAGCGTGTTTCCTACCCGTTTTCTGATCCCTCTGATACTTCCTAGCCTGATTCTGTTCCCTTCCTGTTTTGCCTCTCTCCCTTCCTTAACCTGGCTTGTCCCACAGGCTAGGGAAAGTAGTTGAACACAGAGGGCAGAAAGGGAGGCATCAAGAAGTATTACGGGCCCGTTTCCCCCATCCTAGACCCTTTTGGGGATTCCTGGCTATCTGCGTTCCCTAATCGGCCCCACACACTGGTTAGCCCAAGCCACCTCCCAGCCCGTGCAGAGATCCCAGCTCCCTGGTGGCCACATACTTCATAAACCAGTTGGGATCTCCACGGTAGTGCCCGTCATTCTTGGTCACTGCCAAGCTGCCCAAAGCCATCAGGGTCCTCTGCACTGCCGCCATGTCTTTGCCTGTGAGAAGGAGGGGAGGGGGATGAACTGGAGGACCGGCTAGACAAGACTCCTAGCCAGGGCCTGCCCGTCTCTCACAGAAAAATGGCCAAACCAGGGCCAAGATTAGCCCAAACTAAAGGAGGGCTCAGTAGATCGGCAGGAGGCACTGAGGGTGTGGTGTGGCATTCTCTTGGCATATCCAACTGCTACATGCAGTTGTGGAATATTTTGATCATTCCTTCTGCCCCGGCGTCCTTTCTTCCATCTGCCCGCCCCCTTCCCTGGCCCCTTTTTCCTCTCTACCTTCAAAGAGGTCAACGGTCTGGAACATGTCAGTCTTGGTGACCCCATAGTCCTCAGCTGCCTTCAGGAACTGGGCCACCTGCTCCATCTGCTTGAAGACCATGGAGGGTGGGTTCTCCGGCACCTTCACCGGCTTGGCACCATCAGGATACAGACTGTTGACTAGCTTGCTCAGAATCTGCCAGGGGTAGGGCACAGAACACGGCTTGGCACTCAGCTCCAGAGGCCTGGCCCACAACCCGCAGGGTGGCACCACCCCAACCTCCCTTCCCAGGGTGCCACTCACCACGCCATTCTTCAGCCAGACCTGGAAACCCAGGCGCCCACGGTCCGGGCGACCTACATCCGGGCCACACTGCGCCACGATCCACTCCACCAGCCGTTCCTCCAGCTCCTCGTCATATTTCTTCTCGATTTTGGATTGCACTTCACGGCTCATGCCATAGGAGGGACCCTTGTTGGCCATGTTGGGGCAGAGCTAAAGCAAGACAGGGCAGAGGAGTGGGGAGAGGGAGACAGAGGATCAGGGAGCAGCTCTGCTTTCGCCTGTACCAGGTGGACCTTCGACCTCTGTGAGGGGTGCCCAACCATCGCAGACGTTTATCACAGCACTGTCCATCTGGGCCAGGCTCATCGCCCAATCCAGAACACCAAGAAGCAGGATACCAGATCTCTGGAGGTCAAGAGCGGGGGTCAGTCAACTTTTTTTGTAAAGGACCAAAGAGCAAATACTGTAGACTTTGCAGGTCACATGGTGTCTGCTGTAGTGTGAAAGCAGTCATAGACAATATGCAACAAATGAGCATGGCTTTATTTCAATAAAGCTTTATCGACGACACAGACAGCGGGCTGAATCTGGCCCATGGACCATAGTTTGACAACCCATTGTCTAGAGCATTCTTTCTTTGCCAAGAGATGCACTGGAGAAGGCTTTCAGAGGCCACATTGTCCCCGCAAATAAAACCAGCTGGTGTGTTTGTCCAGCCAGGTGTGAGGGGGTTTCTTGCCTCTGCCCAAGGAACCATTGCCTCCAATTCTCGTTGTATCCTCTAGCCAGAAACTGGAACTCCAGGACTCTAGCTCTTTGCCAGGTCAGCTCAGCCTCTGGTCTGCAGCTGAAGAGGCTCAAACTTACCCACCCCTGCCAAGGTCTAGGAAGTTACCAAAGCCCCAAGAACTCTTGGCAAAGAAGCTGCATTTCTTCAGGGAACCCAAACGAGAGAGGACTGGTCTACCCATTGACTCTCCCTCATGCCCTTAGGCTCTCACCACTGGCGTAGCCCGAGTAGCCAAGAAGTCAGAGTCTGCCAGGGATCTTCTAGAGCCAAGAACCTGCCTGCCAGGACATGAGAAGCCCTGCCTTGTCCAGCCACAGCCAGCCCGAGGCCTGAGCCCCACTAACAGGGAGGAGAGGCCCTGGGGGTGGGGTAGGCAGTAGGTCACTGGCAGACATGAGTGTGGCTGGTCAAGAAGTGGTCAAGTGTCACCCTGGGGTGGTGTGCCTTCTGCCCAGTGTTTGACTGAAGAGGCTCCCAAAAGAGGAACCAAAGGAAATCAAACCTATCCCTTGGCTTCAGGGAGGTCAGAGGCTGGGAGGGAGACACAGGTCTGAGGATGGCGGTCGTCAGTGCACTCCCCCAACTCCTTCCCTGTGGAGCTGAGATCTCTCCCACCCCTACTCCATCCCAGTCCCCATGGATGAACATTTTCACCTCACACACTGGGCCCAGCCCAGCTGCCACACTCCACTGCCCTGCCCATCCTTTTCCCGTGGCTGTCAATGCTTCTGGACCGTATTCCTCATCTGTGAAGCGGGACTGTCCCGCTCAGAGGGCTGTGAAAATGAGACCGTGTCTGTGAACCCCTGCACATTCTGCCTGTCCCTTAGCCGAGCTCCTCGAAACGCCAGTTCTTTGCTGCCCAGAGCCGGTCTCCTGGTGACGGCTTGGGAGAGAGCCAGCCTGGACTGAGAAGTAAAAACCAGTAGGCAGTCTCCCCTGCTCTGGCCTCCGCCCCTTCTCAGAATCATTCCCAGAGCAGACAACGTTTCAGAGAAAAACCACGGCATGGACTCATCTAGATGCCAGCCACTGGGTGGGGTTGGAGAGCCTCTGAGGACAGGGTTCTCCAAGCACAGGGGGTGGGGGGAGTTAGGTGGACTTCCTGGCCCAGCCACCCTTGTCCCAGCCAGTGAGGCCAGAGGACTCAAGGCAGAGAGCTCTGTGCTGCTGTTCAGCCACAAACAGCCAGTTCCTCCCTTCCCCTGCCCCCTGTGTGTCCCAGCCCCCACTGCCCAACCACCAGGGACTCCTGCAAAATGAACTGTGGCCACAATCTCCAAGTCTGTTGAGACCAGCTGACTCCTGGCCTCCACCCCAGCCTCTGACTCAGCCTTCACCTCACTATCCCAGACAGGCATCCTCCCTCTATCCCCTTCCCCTGTGTGTCCCCCCACCCCACCCACCCCCTCAGCTGCCTTCCCCTCCCTCACCACCTGCTGGGCTTGGAAGGAACAGGATGGAGGAGAGGTGTCCCCCACGCCCAGCTCTCAGCCTCAGGAGATGCAGAAGCCAAAAGCCAACACAGGCCCGAGGGCCAAGGCTCAGGGTGACAATGCACAATGCTGCCGCCTCTGGCTCTAGAGATGACATCTGGATTCCGGTCGGAGCAAGGGAGGGGCGTGAAACGCACATCACCCCCACCCCCGCCTGGCGCCACCGTCCCTCTTCCTCCTAGTCCCTCTTCCTCCTAGTCCGAGAAGCGTCTGAGAGTGGAGAGTCCCCAAAAGTCCCTTGGCGTCCTCTGACGAAGACCTCCCCAGGCCCCCCTCTGAGCCACTGGGGAGAGGAGAGTGAGGAACAAGGCTACGGGGCAGCCCACCCAGAGGCACTTCAAGACGAAGGCTCCCAGGACAGGACCGACAGCACGGTGCTGGTGCTGCGGGAGTCTCAGCCCTGACTCTCCTGTCCTGTGGCTCCTGTCAGGCCCCTGCCTCCTGAGCTGCCCATGGGCGAGGTTGGGCAGTGGAGAAAGAACCAAGTCCAGCTGCAAAGGGGCTGGTGGCAGCTTCTACCAGCAGAAGCCCAGAAAACCTGTGCAAAACCAGGAGTCCCTCCAGGACGGGCCGTGCCCCGCCCTTCATGAGTAGGAGTAGGCGCATCTGGATCTTAAGGGGGTAACTCAAGGGAGAGAGGGGAGTGACCCACATAAACATGCGCCCACCCTCACCACTGCCCTTTGAATAGCAACCAGGAAAGGCCAAGGGTCCCAGGCCCGCCCCGCCCATCACTCCAAAGCTCCTCCTTGGCGGTACCCGCCCACCACCCCTCTGCCGCTCTCAGCCATCGCCGCACCCTGCCACCATAGACTGTTCTGGAAAACAAGAGTCCTGTGGTCCTGCACATTGCCTCAGAGGCTCTCGTGTGCTGCTCAGATCCTGGGGACCAGCCAGCAGGATGCACTGTCCAGCACAAGTGTATTCACACACTCCTTATCTCCTAGAGGCCTGGCAGAAAACAGAGCCTTGGCCTGACCAGATAACACCTGTGCCTCACACCCCCTGGGGATATGACTGGCTGAAACGGGTGGCTTCCTCTCACCCCAGTTGTTTCCGCCATCAGTTCCTCTGCACCAGTCAAGACATCCTGGGTATTTCAACGAGCCTGGGCCGCCCCATCTGAGAGATTACAAGACTCTGGCGATCCATCCCACCCTGTCTGGAGATGAGGAACCCGTGTCAACTGAGGGGGTGGGCTTCCCTGGCCAGGGAAATGGCATCAAGGGATCAAGGGACCTTTGGAGCACCCAGCCTGAAATGCTACCGTCGAGAGCTCCAGCCCCACTTCCCTCCAAGTCCCAGCCCAACACACTTACAAGGGTTCCTCGGGGCTGGCGGGAAGGAGTGAGGTCTCCTGTCTGGACTCGGACAGACAGGATGGGAAGCCGGCTGGGTGAGGGGTTTAAAGGGCTGCCACTGCGGTGATGTCAGCCTTCCCCCGCTGGCTCGCCCCTCAGCCCCCTCCCTGCTGGAGGAAGCCGACTCCGTTCCCCACCCCTGGCTCCCCCAGAGACTCCACGCAGGCTCCATATTTGGGGAAAGACACCAAGTTGGAGCAGTCTGCCTGGGGGCTGCTGAGACATTCTCTGCATGCTTTGGAGATGGAGCGGGCTGGGGCGGGGCCGTGCGGCAGGCAGGGAGTCGGCCGGGAAAAGCCTTTTATGGAGAGGACCATGAAGGCCTTCCCTGCTGCCCCGACTCAGGGCTGCTCCTTCTCCGTTCCATGCCCCTGAGTTTGAGGGGAGAAAGAGTTCAAGTGAGTCTGGCCAGAAAGAAGAGGTAGGGGCTAGGAAGCTGGGGATCCTTGGGGTTTGTGGGGGGACAAACTAGCCACACTCCCCTCCTGGGGCTTTTTGTTCCCATCGGAGATGGGAACTCACCTTGACTGAGGACCTACTCCAGGCCAGACACTTGGCAAACACTCTCCTTTAATACAGCTACATCGCCAAGGTGTACTTACTTTCCCCATCTTACAGATGAGGAATCAGACTCGGTGCATCTTCCCCGAGGCCACATGGTGAGTGGAGAGTGGCAGAAGCTGCGTATCCCTGCCCACCCCGTGCAGGTGCTGGAAAGGCGACCAGACCCTGAGGAGTGCTTTCGACTGGGTGGGTCCTGGGTTACATGCCTTCGTTGGCTGCGGGATCTGAGGGTTCAGCAGTAGCTGAGTCAACCCTGGCCATCCAGAGGGCAGTGCTAGTGAGGGGATCTCTAAGGCCTGGCGGGGCCCTAGACACTAACACTGGGTAGCAGGCTCAGGAGATGAGTATCATGCCTCCCTTGGGAAAGTCCCTCTGTGACCTGGCAGACGGACTGCACTCTCTCACCCCATGATGGAGACTCACTCGCACCCTGTGTGTACCTGGCTTCAGGGGTCTCGAGAGGGATGGGGGCTAAGAATTCCAGGGGCGTGGGTCGCTGGGCTGCCTGATGGGGCACCTCCCATCCTAGGGCACTTGGCAGGGAGAACTCCACCACATACGCACACACACCCCCGAGCCCAGCACCACCCGAACCAAACCAGGCCTAGCAGAGGGGCAGCCAGGCCAGGCCAGCCAGGCAGTGAAAGGGGCCCCCCCTCAGCAGTTCCGCCCACTACAGCCAGCCTCGCCCGAGCCCAGTGGCGTGTAGGGCCATAGCGCCCCCTAGTGCCACCTGAAGGGGGGGGCAGGGAGAGGAGCCCTCACCTTCCTCTGTCCCTGGACCCCACCAACCTCACACCGTGTCCTGAATTTACCAGATTGCTTGGCCCCCAAATCTTGACCTGCTTAGGCTGAAGTCTAAGGAAACCTTTCGGGGACATTTCAAAATTCCATTCTCCTGGAGCCTGCCCGCCATCCATCCCATCCTGCGTTTTCTGAGCACACCCACCTGGGCCTGACGCTATCACCAGGCCAGCTAGAGGGTGCTCAGGAAAGAAGTGAAGCTGGCTCGGTCTGCTGGGCTGGACCAGGTAGGAAGGGATCTCAGCGGTGGGGTGGGAGGCATAGGCTTTCCAATAACTGGCCTCCGGCCAGCACAGTGCCTAGTGTTGGGCTGACTCCTGGTAAATCCTTACTGAACTAATGCTGTTGTTAGAGGGAGAGGAAAAACAGGGAAATCAAGGAATGACAGCTCCCAGGGCGATGGTGGCTAAAAAAGAGACTGGCAGGGGCAACCCCCTCGGGTCCCCTCCCACGGTGGGAGCTTTTCTGTCCTCAATAAATCCTGCTTTCTCTCTTTCCGGCTGTCCATGTCCCTCATTCTTCTTGGGCATGAGACAAGAACCTTGACCTGAAGAGCTGCAGAAGATCATCGGAGCTGAAGAGCCATACACCCTAGAGGCTGGCTTATCAGTCGATGGAGCCAGCTGAACCAGGAGAGTTGCTGGAAGAAGGTGAGACTCCGAAGCTGAGACACTCCAGGGACTAGACTTGCCAGCCCACCAAACCAGCAGCTCAGGGCTTGGCTTGTCAGCTCATTAGAGCCGACAATTCCGGGGCTAGGCTTACCAGCCCCTCAAGACAACCCTCTCTGGGACTTGGCTGGCGGACCCATTGAGCTGACACTCTCGAAGCCCAGGCTGACCTGAAAAATCCGTATCAGTAGTGGCTGTGGTGAACTATGATAGTGCCATTGCAGTCCAGCCTGGGTGAGAGAGTGAGACTCCAACATACATACACACACACACACACACAATTTTAAAAACAACAAAAATAAAGTAAATGAAGTTTTTCTTGAGACCATCATGAATACCCATTCTTGCATTATAAAAACCCTTGAATAACTGAGTTGCATGCAAGACAAATATTAAAAAGAGAGAGAGAAAGAAAGGCAAGAAGGAATGAGAACTGGAAAGAACCAGAAAGGGAGGGCAAAGATAGGCCCAACACTGTGACTGGCTGGTTCTTTATTGAATGCAAACTCATTCATAGAAAACAGAAATGCAACTGTAGCATGGAGAGACATAAAACAGAGTTCTGAAAAAAAGACCCAGATCCACCTCTCCCCAGCCCAAGGAGAGCTATCCAACACTTCTGGGAGAATCAAACACATTCCCATCCCGGAGGGAGAGCCCCCCTCCCCTGGCCTCCCCCACCCTTGGCATCTGGAATGGACTGGGTGGGACGAACGGGGTCCAAGGACGAGAGTGGTCAGGGGACCCAGAACTGAGAACAACTCTGTGTAAACTCCAAGGTTTCACGTGTACGTGTGTGACGGACACAGAACTTGGCTGAAGACTGGACGGAAACTCAGAAGCCAGCCCTGGGCCCTAACCTGAGGCTAGGACTGGGGACGTTGAGGCAAACAGCATGTCCCTTCCTCAAGCCCCTTTCTAAGGCAGGCACTGGCGCTCCCGCGGCTGTGAAAGAGGCAGGATGGGCTGAGCTCTTTCTGTCATCCCCCTTTTGCCCCATGGACATTCACAGGCAGTGTCATGGCACTGAAAGGGCCCCAGCAGGGGTTTGGCAGGATGAAGGGCCTGGAAAGAAGGAAGGGAAGGGGTGAGTCACTTCTACCTTCTGTCCTGGTGCTGGCATCAGTCTAGGGGCTGATAGGACGAGCAGGTAACCTCTGAATTCAGCCTCTCAGATCACAAGGCGGTTCTCAAATTGCTCTGACTGCATAGCTAAAGAGCCAGCCCTCGGCACAGGTCAGAGGGAAGAGGGGTCTTACTGCCCCGGGCCCCTTGCAGGTCTTAGCACCAAAAGCCTGGCACCAGCTAGCCATCCCCCAAAGTCTGATACCCCCATTCATCCTGGCTGACCAGAGTGGGCAGTGATGGCAGCCAGGTGCAGCCCCACAGAGAGCTGGAGCCCTGGTACAGAACACTGAATTGGGCCCCGGACTAGGCCCTGGAGTGAGTTTGGGAGGAAAAAAGAACTTCGGGTCCCAGGCTAGGGACGGAGGAGGACAGGCAGAATGCAAGGCATGAAATGGGAACGACGTTGCCTTCCCGCCTTCCTCCTGCAGAGAGAGAAATGGACAGCCAAGCCAGAGGCCCGAGGAAGGCCCCAACACTGAAGAAAGCAGCAATCTGGCCAACGTCTGGGGCTCAGGAGAAGCAGGCCTCCCCCCTGCAGAGGGCAGCTGCAAGGCTCAATGCCACCCCATGACTGTCCCGGGCCAGGCCCAGGCTAGACCTCACTGTCCCACCACCTTCCAGTGCTGGGCAGCGGTGCTGGGCCTCACACCCCCGGCATTGCAGAGTGCCGGCCTGTGACACAGAGGAGCTCAGGGCCCCTGAGGTGAAGCAAAGGGCCTGGCTCCTGCTAGAAGACATAGATCTTGTCCCGCTGCACGGTGTCCAGGTCGTCGTCCAGTGTCAGCAGCACCTGGGGGGTGGACGCTAGATCAGGCACGGAAGAGGCGACCCCACCTCCACTCTACCCTCCCAGCTCTCCCAGAGTCCCACCTACCAGGAAGGACCCGAACATGGCGATGGAGGAGAGGAAGTGCCAGATGTCGTGGTCGTCAAAGAAGTCGAGGAGGATGCAGTCCCGGTTGTGCTCCCTCGACTCTGCAGGGGTTTTCTGGGGGAGGGACAGAGACAGCCGCCTGCTGGCCCTGCTCCAACAAGGCCAGGGCAAGGCCCACCCAGCCTGACTCAGGGGCACCAGTCACCCCAGCCCCAGGCAGAAAAGCACCTGCTCTGGCCACCCCTTGTGCTCGCCCAGCATCTAACAAACTGCTTTTGGCTACAGACTTCCTTTGCTCTTCCTCCTTCCCTCCTCACCTTAGATTCTCCTCTCTGATCTAAGAGCAGAGGGGCATGGTCACCGGGACTGCTGCTGGCACCTCGTTCACTCTAACTCAGACCAGCTCGCGCCACGGAGCTCCTGCTCTGTGGGTCTCCAGGGTCACTGTCTTCTCCAGAACATGACTGTCAGGTCACACCTGCCCCAGCAGGACAGTGGCCATGACCTGTGCCACTCAAAGAACTCCCTGCTCTGCCCATAACCTCTGTCCGGCGGGTATTTGCTGATTGTCCACCCTGTGTCTGGTGGCCGTCTGTGCCACGTGCTGAGGTCACAGGCATGACCAAGACCGGCCCTGCCCCCCAAAGAGTTCCAGTCTCCCCATGCCTCCCACGTGACCTCCAGATCTGCCTCTGAATCATAACTCGGGTCATGGCCTGTCTGGGCCATGGGCCCCTCCCAGTCACCCAGGGCTTTTACTGCCAAGAGGAAGGCCTGTCTTCTCCAGGAAGCTTTCCCAGACTCCCAACTCTGGGCCTCTCCATCCTCTATTCTCTTGCACATCCCCCTGCCCTGTCCTGCCTGTGCCCTGCGTCCCACGCATCACATCGCAAATAGCAAGGCAAGCCTCAACAGTCGCTTTCCCTTTTGAACTAGAATATGCACATCTCAAAGGCAGAGACCGCATCAGACCTCGTTCTGATCACAGAACTAAGTAAGGCCTGACACATGGCAGGTGCCCTGTGAGAGACTGATCTCTCTGGCTTCAAACGCCACTGGCAACGAGTTCTTGGAAGGTCACTTGGCCTCTCTGAGCCTCAGCTGCCTCATAAGTAAAAGGGAGCTATCTCCAGGTTGGAGCATGGACTGCTAGGAGGACTCAATGAGAACGCGGCTATGAACGCGGGGGCCCATGGAGGTAGTCCCGAATGGTGTTGAAAGAGGACTGGCCACAAGCTGGCTCACAAAGAGCCTGGAGTGAGCACTCACCTGCCAGGTGCTGAGTCCCTGGAAGAAGAAGAAAAGTGCGAAGCCCCAGACCACGGAGGTGCAGACGATGCAGAGCAGGGGGATGAGCTTGATCCTCTCCCCGCTCCGGAGCTGCCGGGCGGGGAGGAAGGACAGCCTGAGGAACAGGCCACACCCACCCCTCCCGCTTGTCCTAGACCCTTTCCTGGCGGTCTCCCAGTTTAGGGGACTATCCTTTTTTTTCTTTTCTTTTTTTTGAGTTGGACTCTCACTCTGTCACCCAGGCTGGAATGCAGTGGCATACTCATGGCCACCACAGTCCTGACCTGCTGGACTCAGGTGATCCTTCTGCCTCAGCCTTCCAAGTAGCTGGAATTACAGGCACACACTACCACACTCAGCTAATTTTCTGATTTATTGTAGAGATGAGGTCTCGCCAAGTTGCCCAGGCTGGTCCCAAACCCACGGGCTCAGGCAATCCTCTCACTTCGACCTCCCAAAGTGCTGGGATTATAGGCGTGAGCCGCTGCGTCCGGCCAGGACCATCCTTTAGGGAGCCTTCTGAGCGTCATCCCACCTCACAGAGCCATGAAGCTCAAACAGCAGCCTGGTGGCCTCACCCTGATGTCCACCCCAGCTGGGCCTGCATGTGCTCAGAACCCTGTGCCAGCAAAGCACCCTGGCCACGAGGCTCTCCCTGTGCAGGGGGCTCCCCTCAGCCTGGATGGAGGTCCCTTGGGAAGCCCCTGGTCCTCAGAGGCCCACACCCCGCACTGACTCAGTGAGCCCCACCTCCTCCCAGTCCCTTCTGCACTTAAGGGGGCCACTAACCGCCATGGCCATTTGGAGGGCCATTCTTAGACTATGCAAGGGGCTCAGTAAATGGCCTTACACTGCAGTTAGCTCCCAGGGGCCACATGCCTCTCCCCTCTCCCCTCCTCGAACCTCACTGTGAAGACAGATGGACAGAAAACTTCTCACCCCTGCTCAGTGCTGCCCCAGGTAGGCCGTGCCCATCTCCCTCCCCAAAGAGCAGAGCAGCTGACATAGGAGGCTCAGCCACCCCACTCACCTTCATAATAATGTAGAAGGCAAAGTAAAGCAGCAGGTTGCAGATGCCAATGGCCAACAGGTAGGAGGCGAAATCATTGGGACGCATGATAAGCCCATAAGCAGCCCTGGCAAGAGGGGCAAAGGGCTGGTGAGGAGGGAAGGGCCAAGATCAAGAAGAAGACACCTCCTTGCCCCTGCCCCACCACGTTTTACTGTGATGTTAGGCTGGGTTCGGGCATCCACAGAAGATTCTAGAAGCCCAGGTGCCAACACAGCTCTTCGTAGCCCCGAGTTCTTATGCTCAACACTTAGAAGCTGTCCACAGCCCCCAAGGCAGCCAGTGGCAGGCCACGTCCCCAGCCGTCCACCCAGGCAGGTTACCACCACCCACAGCCAGACTCACAGAGACCAGTTGATAATGTTGCCCATGACCAGCAGCACCATGCGGTCCTGAAGGGAAGCAGAGACACAGGGACTGAGATGGGGAAGAGAGACAGGGAGAAAAGTGGAAGAAGGCCCGAGTCGGCGGGTCCCCACCCTGTGCTGGGTTCTCAGCTACGCCTCCCTCCCACACTGGAGGGAGAGAGAAGATGGAGGGGAGAGGGGCTGAGGAGCTGGGCAGGTACCACGTAGAGGGGCCCGCTGCACTGCCGGATGCAGTCTGTGTAGAGCACGTGGAGGATGCGGCGGAAGATCCCCGAGTCTGCAGGGAGAAGGGAAAGGGCTGAAAGGCACAGGCGCCCTCCCGGCTGGACCCCTGGCCAATCTAATTTCTCGCCCAGTGACTCTTCCAGGGACCCCCGAGACGACAGAGCCTGAGTGTCTCCTGCGTTTCCAGACCCCCTCCTCCAGGCCCTGCCCAGGCCTGCTCACCCAGCTTCCAGCGGCCCATGTAATAGAGCTGTGTGCTGAGGAGCAGGGTGGCAATGATGTGGATGATGGAGAAGACAATCCAGAACACCGTGTTCCCTTTGCCAAAGACCTGTCAGGAGACCCCAAGGGCAGAGGTGAGAAGGCTCCGAGGGCAGCTGCTCCCAAGGTCCGCCCCTCCTGGGGCTCGCTGCTTGGCCAGGCTGGGACTAAGAGGGGCCCCAAAAAGGCGTCTCAGGGAAGGAGCAGGGATCACTCCTGCCGGAGGTGGAGGGGGTTGTGCGTGCCCACGTGCGTGAATGCACATGCACCTTTCCTAACCTACAGGACGAGCAGAGTGGGTCAGGCCCTCACCACGCCCAGCACAGAGAAGAAGATGACGATGGCCAGGCAGGCGTAGGCGCTGTAGGCACTGGCGTTGATGTCTGGGTGCCGCTTCTGGTACAGCTTCAGCATGCAGAGGCCAGCGATCATGTACATGAATGACGTGTCTAGGTTGGGGAGCAGGGGTGGGAGCTACGGAAACATCCGCCAAACCTCAGCAGAGAACCCCCAGCCCCAACGACCAGAGGGAGAGAGCGCCCCAACATCCACAGAGCGAGCTGCTGGTACTTGAGCTCTAGTCCCTTAACTGGCCCTCACTGGCTGTCACCCAGTCTCAGGGTCTTAGTCTGTGAGCATCCTGAGATCAGGGACCACTTCTTTTTCTTTCTTTTCTTTCTTCCTCTCCTACCTCTCTCTCTCCCTCTCGCTCTCTCTCTCACCTCCCTCCCTCCCTCTCTTTATTTTGAGTCAGGGTCTCACGCTGTTGCTCAGGCTGGAGGGAAGTGGTATGATCATGGTTCAGCGCAGTCTCAGTCTCCTAGGCTCAGGTGATCCTTCCAACTCAGCCTCCTGAGTGGCTGGGACTATAAATGTACGCCACTACGCCCAGCTAATTTTTTTTTTTTTTTTTTTGAGTTGGAGTCTCACTCTGTCGCCCAGACTGGAGTGCAGTGGCCACTCCTGGCCACCAAAGCCTCGACCTGCTGGGGCTCCAGCAATCCTTCCGCCTCAGCCTTCCAAGTGGCTGGAACTACAGGCATGCACTACCACACCCGGCTAATTTTTTGATTTATTGTAGAGATGAGGTCTCACTGCCCAGGTGGGTCTTGAACCCGCAGGCTCAGGCAATCCAGTTACCTCAGCCTCCCAAGGTGCAGGATTACAGGCTGAGTCACCAAGCCCGGCTCTAATTTTTTTTATTTTTTGCAGAGATGAGGTCTCACTATGTTGCTAGCCTGGTCTCAAACCTGGCTCAAGCAATCCTGCTTTGGCTTCCCAAAGTGTTGGGATTACAGGCGTGAGCCACTGCACCAGGCCTAGGAACCACTTCTTAATTATCTTTGCTTTCTTCAGTCTCGCACATACATGCCTTTATAGAAAAAGCTCCTCAGATAAATGAAATCCCATTTAGAGGCCCACTCTCTATCTACTGGGATGTGTGCACACACAGGCACCCAGGCCCGGGCGCTTCCCACAGGACTGTCTTGGGGATCCCTGCAGGTGACCTGGGGATGACGGAGGACGCAGGCAGGTCCCTGCTGTAGGTTCAGCCACAGCAGAGGGGGCCCCACTCACCGAACTGGAAGTTGGTATAGTTGGGGCACACGTGGTAGCAGGCGCTGAGCAGCCCCTCCATCATCAGGGCTGTGCCCATGGCGTAGAACAGGCCAAAGTGTTTTGGGATCCCACACTCCTGTTGGGGAGATCGAGAAGGGGAGGGAGGGAGGAGGTGAGGCAGGAAGGGAAGGAGGGACCCAAGAGAGGGAGCCCCGGGGAGTGGAGGGGGAAAAGGGCGGATGGGGCGGGCTAGCCTGGCCTGGGCAGGCTGGGCTAGGGAAAGCGGGCCAGGCAAGAAAGGCCACGCCGGCCAGAAAGGGCGCTGGGAAGCCCAGGCCTGGGTCTGGGCCGAGGGCCCAGCAGGCGGCAGAGGCGCCCTCACCAGGGCGTAGAGGTCGTTGCGCAGCAGGGCCCGGTTGTGGTTGATCTCGCGCTGCAGGATGATGAGCAGGAAGAGCAATCCCAGCAGGATGTACCCCAGGTTGCTGAGGATGTTGTTGAAGGCGCTAGAGGGGCCAACACGAGGCGCTCTGCTTGGGCCGCACGCCCAGGCCTCCTCCCCAGCCCAGGCGGGCATGCGCAAAGCCCCCACCCTCTGCCCCCGGTTCCACTCGGCCTCCTGCATGGTCCCCACCTGAGGTTGCCCAGGGGGTGGGCACAGAGGAAATTGTAGTAGCAGATGTCTTGATTGCCTGTGACATTCACCACCTGCAGGAGGAGCGGGGGCAGGGGGCAGGGCTGCTAACACACTGGACTCTGTCCACACCATGCCGCCACACCACCTGGGCTTCTTTGCAAAAGACAGCAAGTGCCCCCCGCAGCCGGCAGGGCAGGAGACACATGGTACCCAGGCACATGCCCTTTTGAAAGAGGATGCCAGGCAGCACAGTCACTGTCCCCCCTTACTAGGTGTGGACAAAACTCTGGGGCATGATGGCCACAACAGAAGTTTTTGCCCCACAGTACAGAGAAAAAGGAAGAGAAACCAAGAGGCATAAAGGCCCAGCACCCTTGTTTCATAATCCCCACCACAACACTGGGAGGGTGCTGTCATTGGTATCATGCTACTCCCATTCTGCAGACGAAGAAATTAATGCTCAGGGAGGTTAAGTGATTTGCCCAAGGTCACTCAGCTGGTAAGGCAGAGCTGGAATCTGAACTCGGGTCCTGTGACCTAAGACCTGTGCTGGCTCCAGAGACCCAGGCAGGAAGGCTCTGCCCTTAGGGGCAGTGTCCCAGACTGTGATCATGCTGAGCCAGCCCTGGCCCTCTCACCGTCTGATAGGTAATCACCAGCTGCACCACAGGAAGGGCATAGAAGACGGCAATGGTGGCGATGTTCCTGAGGAATGCAGAGCAGTGGTGAGGCAGGCAGGATCTAAGGGGCCACCACACACCCGCGGGTACCGGGAGCCCCAGCCTGCTGGGCCCACTCACCAGAAGTAGATCTGGTACTTCTTCCGCAGAACGCGCTTGTCCTTCCTTGCCAGGTCGGCCACATAGAGATATTGCTGGGGAGAGCTGGAGTGAGCCCCACCTACCCACTGCCTGGGAGAAGCACCTCTCCCCAGTTTAGAGGTGGACAAGAGGGGCCTCCCTCAGACAGGCCGAACTCAGGTGGGCACAGTTCTAGGCCGTCCCACTGCTGGGCCAGTCGGTCCGGAAGCGGCTGGAAGTCAGGTTAGGTTCCCCTGGAATCCACCCTGCCCCAGCGAGTTCTCTCCCTCTGCTTCTCTAATATGCCATGTCAGAGGGAACCATGCTGGGCCTGAACACAGATGGTCCCTTCCTCGGGAACCCCTGACCAGGCCAGGCCCACGGGTCAGACCTTGGTGCGAATGACATTCTTATCGGAATCAATGTCGGTCAAGGTGTCATAGTCGTCCTCCTCCACCGAGCTCATGGAGTCCAGGCGTGGCCGAGTCCCCACGGGGTCAAAGGAGCGGCCTGGGAAAAGCAAGGAGAGGGGCTGTGCTGGTGGGCACGAGTCCCATGGGCTGCCCTCACCCATCTAAGGCAATTATGAAAATTAGGAGGGAGGAAGGAAGAGGCAAATTGTGGGCCAGGGCTCAGAGCAGTGGTGTGGGCTCAGGAGCTGGGAGGACACAGCAGGTGCTCCCAAGTCCTGGGGGGAGCAAGGGTGGGAGTTGCAAAGAGGCCACCAAACAGGGCCACTCTAGCTTTGCTCCACTTCCTGCTCCCATCACTGAGCTAGGGTCTTCCAGGGCAGGATGCCGAGCAGACCCGGGCCCCAGACACAAGCAATAGATTTAACTTGGCAAGTCATGCTGATTTAAAGGTGCCCAGCCCTGTGGGTTCTGAGAAGACACTGCCTTGGGTTAAGGACCCAGTGGGCTTGGGCTGCAGGCAAGGGCAAGAGGCTGCCTCCAGAAACAGCATCTCTCCTTTATCCTGTTTTTGCCTCTTGCTTTCAGAACCTTCCCCCTGTGACCTTGCCTGACCAAAGCCCCCAGAGGCCTGGATGTGACAGCTGTGCCCATGAGCCCGACCCCAGCAGGCCAAGGAGTAAGGGTGCTGGCAAGGCAGACATAACTAGAACATCCGGCCCAGGGGTAGCTGAGGTAGCCAGCATTGGGGACCAGTGCCTGCCTATCTCAGAAGACACAAGAGCCGGCAACTGTGGGCATTCAATGGGGAAGCCATGCACAAAGCATCTCTCTGGTCCTGGAGTTGGCAGGCGACCGCCCTGGCAGGAGCTGATTGGCAGAGCAGCCCCACCCCCTCCCCACATCTACCCATGGCAATGCACAGCTGCCGCATCTGGCCAGAGGGGAGGCGCCGCTTGAACTGGTCGTGCCCTTCAAAGGAAAGGGAAAGTTACCAGGGAACTGGGGCCAAGGAGGAGAGGATGAGGGAGGAGAGGGTCAGGAAAACAGCAGGCCCCTGTCCAGTTCCAGCATCTGGCAGAAGAGGCAACCGCCCACCATGTTTCACCCAGCCAACACCGCCTGCACCGCATGGCCCCTCCCTGCCTGGCCCACTCACCCTGGTAACCATAAGAGAGGTCCCCCGTGCCTGTGCTGTCTACCAAACCATCAGTGGATCCGGAACCATTCTCTGCAGGGAATGATCAGTGGTGAGGCAGGTAGGGAAGGGGACGCTGGGCCCATCCCTACGGGGCCCTGAGCAGTGGCAGGGGGCATCAGGATGAGGCCAGCTGCCACGTGACCACGTCGGACGTGGCAGGATGTGAGTGGAGTGAGTGGGTGAGCACAGCCTCTCTCTGGCTTCGACACGTACCAAAGGAGCCATAGTTGTAACCCTCATAAGGGGAGTTGCCAGGAAAGGAATCGGCCAGGACTCGAGGGTGACCTGCAAAGAGACATCAAGGTCCTCTTAGCCCTGGAAGCAGAGACCAGCCTAGAGCCAGGGAGGAAAGGAAGCTCCAGAGAAGACAGCCACAGAGAGGCCATGCCAGCAGCAAAGCATAGGAACCTAACCAGCAAACACACCACTCCGCCACCACCTGTCCCAACCTCCCGCCTGCCTCTCCCATGGAAACATCACCACCCTTGGTCCTCCCTGAAGAGTGGAAGGTCAAGGAGCTGAAGCATCTAAGTTACCCGCAGCAAGCACAGACAACATCTGCCTGCCCAGGCCCCCCGACAGCCCTGCACGTCACTCCCTCCCCCACTCAGGACTCCAGCTCCTCTGCCCACGGCGCCTGGAGCTTACCAAGGAGAGAGGCTGAGAGAGAAGATTCCAAGCAGAAGAGAGGACAGAAAGAGAGGGAGGGGCAGGAAGAAGGGAGAAAGAAGCAAAGGTTAATCATCCCAGAGACAGCAAGCTGCACTGCCTGAGGCAGACAGACAGCGCAGCTAGATACAGAGAATAATCAAGTGACAGCCTCTGAGGTGTGCATGCTAGGATGGGTGGACAGAGCATCCCAGGCCGGTTCCCAGATGCAGAGTGTTACTCCCAATCTCAACATCCAGAAGCCCCCAGCCCTTCTCCCTCCAGCCCCCAAGGGGACCATCCACCACTGTCCCCCTAAAACACAAAGCACACTCTGCCCACCCCACTCAGACCCCCGGAGGTACCGCTTTCTGGGCAGGCTCGGTCCATGGCCACCAGCAGGGTCTTCTTCTTCTGCCTGCAGGACAGAATCCAGAGGCCACCCAGATGGGATAGAACAAATATTCCTCTGCGCAGGGCTGGCCTTCTTTCTACCCTCTCCACCCCATTCTGATCCCAACAGTCCTGTCCTCCCAGGGTTCCTCCCAGGCTGGGAGCAATGTGGGGTCTCCCTGCTTGGGAAGAAGGTTGAGGGGAGAGGTTGGTTTCCAGCAGAGAGGTCCATATACCATAGACCCTAACAGCGACATGCCTTCCTCTGCCCGTGGATGGTGTTGATGACCCTGGGCTAGCTTAGATTCTGCCATGTGCCCTGCCCAACGCATCCCACACCAGGGCAGGGCCCAGCAGTTCCACGTTACCTCCAGTTCTCCCAGCAGGCCAGGAGGACAGTCAGCAGGTAGAAGGAAAGAAATATGCCCAGGCAAAATAGCATCCCACCAACGTAGGCCTCAGCTGCGGGGAGGGAAGCCAGAAAGATGGTGAACAGGTCAAAGCTTCCCACCACTTCCCATCATGACACCCAAGGGCTTTCGCGACCTGGTTGTTCTGCCCGGACCAATCTCTTGCCACTTCTTTCCTCGAATGTAAGGCCCTAGCCAATGTGAACAGCTGGCAGTTCCCCAAGTGTGCCAAACTTTGCTGTCTTTGCTCATGTGGCTCCTTGTACTAGAATTTTCTTTTCTGCTTCTTGAAAATGCCACCTTGACTTAACCTTCGGACCCTAGCCCAAGGACTGCATCCTCTAGGAGTGCTCTCGGTCCTGTGTTCCCACGGTGACCTGTCCTTTGCTCATCACAGCCTCCTGTCCCTCCAGACAGGCGCTCCCTAAGGACGCAGCCCTAGCACGCCACCTGGCATACAAGAGGTGCCCACTAAATATTTGCTGAACAAATAATCCACATAGGAGAGGCACTTTCTTTCCCCTCCTATCACAATCTGTTATTTTAATCTTTTACTTTCCAGTTTATAAAGGGTTTCCTTTAATCACACAGTAAATATTTACTGAGCACTGACTAGCGACCCGTACTTTCCTGCTAATTTTGAGCTAAACCTCCTAACTTGGTGAGATTAAGTAGACAAACTTTATTACCTCTGTTATGGAGACAGGGAAACTGAGGTTGATACGTGGCAGAGAGCGAACTAGAACTCAGTTCTTCTACCTCTGGTCATGGCTCTCTAAACTACATCACACTGGAACTCATTTCCTGGCCTCTCTGTCTAGAAGCCTGCCACCCATGGACTGCCTGAGTAGGTCCTCATCACCCTTCCCCTTCAGGAAACACCCTATAGGCCAGGTCTGAAAGGAAGAGCCAGAGAGGCCTGTCCATCCCCACTCAGCCACCCATACTCACATGTAACTGCTTGAGACACCAGCACGGACAGGGTTTTCTGGCGGTGCCCTTGATCAACCGGTTCATCTGGAAGCAAAATGTCAAACTGGCAAAGAAGTGGCTGCCTGGATCTTGGCTAGAATTAGTAGGACCAGGCTTTGTGAGTCTAGAGCCCAAAACCCATGTACTGTCAGGCCCATCAATCAGCCACACGGGCACTTATTGCTTCCAGGAAGCAACCAAGCCCTCCCCATCCCAAGCTGGGCTGAGGGCACAAGATGTACCTTCCACAAAGGGGTAGAAAGGCAAGGAGCCCCCGCAGGCCTGGTCCTCGGTCTTCACCACCACCACCACGTAGAAGCTGTTGCTGGGGAAGTCTTTGCGCTGCAGGATGTGGTGATCATCATCACCATTGTCATCCTTTTCTGAACACTTATTTTGGGCAAGACGTTACACTAAACCCTTTACATGTATCATTTTACTTAACTGTCATAAAGATGCATAAGAGAAGTACCATTATTATCCTTGTTAGAGGTTTAGAGACGTTAGCTTAGGGTCACACTGCCAGGAAGTGGTGGAGCCAGATTTATCTGGTTCCAGAGCCCAAATCTCGAGCATACACTTCGGCCAGTGAGCAAATGTGTGGGTGCCGCATGCGGGTTGTCCCATTACAGGCCAGACATCAGCCAGGAGAAGAACTGAGGTGCAACACTGGCCCAGCAGCTGCATGACGATGCTTGAGGCGAACCCATGGTTTCCCTCATTTCCTTTCTTCTTCTCACTGCTGTTACAATGTGTCCAGTAGATATGGCAGCCAGAAAGGGTCTTCTGTTCTTTCCCATCCCCAAGGGCGACTGGAATTATGGTTCAACTCTCATATATTCGGGGGACTCAAGGTCACAGGCTCTGGAGGGCCAAGACTAAGACTTGTGGAGGACAGAAATGGGACGGAGGAAACGGAGCAAGGGTTTGGAAAGTTCCCGGCTTCTTGCCGGACACCATCTCCCACCAGGCCACGTGTGCTGCCTACCTGCACTGTGATGGCTGCCTTCTTGGTCATAGTCTGGTACATGCCGATGAAGGCTACGTTGTTGTCCAGGTCATAGACAGGGCACTAGAGGGAGGAGGGGAGAGGCAGATGGATGGGGCCTGGGCCTGCTCCCTCTTTTTTTGTTGTTTTTTGTTTTTTTTAGTTGGAGTCTCACTCTGTCGCCCAGGCTGGAGTGCAGTGGCACACTCACAGCCACCCCAGCATTAGCCTGCTGGGCTCCAGTGAACCTTCCGCCTCAGCCTTCCAAGTAGCCAGAACTACAGGCACACGCTATCACACCTGGCTAATTTTTGATTTTTTTGTTGTAGAGATGAGGTCTTGCAAGTCGCCCAGGCTGGTCTCAAACCCACGGCCTCAGGCAACCTACTCGCCTCGGCCTCCCAAAGTGCTGGGATTACAGGCTGAGCCACCGAGCCTGGTCTCTTCTCTTTTTTATCTTTTTGAGTTGAAGTCTCACTCTGTCGTCCAGGCTGGAGTAACATGGCACACTCACAGCCACTGCAGCTTCAACCTTCCAAGTAGCTGGAACTACAGGCACGCGACAGCATGCCTGTCTAATTTTTTTGATGTACTGTAGAGATGAGGTCTCGCCAAATTGCCCAGGCTGGTCTCAAATCTGTGGGCTTAGGCAATCCTCTCACTTCAGCCTCCCAAAGTGCTGGGATTAGGGAGTACATACTGCTACATGCTGATAGGGAGTAAAGGGGCAGGCCACTCACCAGGACGTCCTGGATGGAGATGACGGAGCAGGGGAAGGCCTTGTTGGAGGTGACCTTGACAATCACCGAGTCCACTCCATCAGGGAACTCATACTTGAAGTACTGAGGGCACGGGAAGGACAGGGAGAGCCCCATCTCATGATGCTCTCCTGGTCCCACAGTCTCCCAGAAAAAAGGACCCAGAATCCTCTCAGGGTTGGGTGGTGGAGGCTCTCTGGGGAGGCAGGCCTTGATCAAAAGCAGCCCCATCTTTTGTCTACCACTCCCTTCAGCCTCAGCTGGGCACTCAGGACCGTGCCTGAGAGGCAACCAGACCCCATGTCTCTGCACAGTCCCAGGCTGGCTGTCCCTCACCACCTTAGGGTCAGAGCTCCTGTGTCCAGGGAGAATACGACCAACTCAAAAGTCCCAGCAAAGACCACTGGCCTCTCCTATTCTCAAGTTCAAGCTTCCCCTTTTCTCCTCTGGAGAGTAGTCGACAGGGAGATGTTACCTGGGGCTGGGCTGCTGTGGTATTGAAGCTAAACTGCTCCCCAGTCCTGCAGGGCAGAGAAGGGCCCCCCAAGTCACTTCCAGAACCTAGAGGGGAAGCCAGTACCCATTCCCCTCAATCTACCCTACAGACCTGAGCACAAAGTCATCCATGCGGCTGACCCGGAGTTGGTACGTGGTGTTTACTGGTGACAGGGTGGACACATCCACGTAGAAGAACTGGACCTCGGACTCATTCTTGGTGGGGGGCTGACACAGCGTTCGTTCCACCTTCTGGTAGAGATACTTGCGCTGAAACCTGTGGCCCGAAGCAGAGAGTCAGGATACGACTACTGTCCCAGCTGGCCTGCCGAGGAGCAAGGCCCCAGATACTCCAGTCTGGTCTCCACCAATGCCCTGCCCCTAGGCAGACAAACTCCAGGATGGCTGACTTGAGCCTCACATCACCGAGCAGCCTCACCCAGAGACTGGGGGGGAGAAGCAGGAGCTGTTGAGGCTCTGGACAAAGCCTGGCCTAGGCCGCACCCCTCCCGGGTCCCCAGATCCTACTCACAGCCCTCGCAGGATTAGGGGCACCTGGAAGGACACCACAGCCTCCTTCTGGCGGACCACAAACAGCAATGGCGCCCCTTTCTGCTTGTTCAGAACGTTCACGGACACACGCACACCCTCCGTCTGCAGGATGACATGGAAATGCCTCTCTCTCAAGACTCTGCCCTCAGGGACCTGTGGCTCCAGAGACTGTGAGCCCTGCCCTGCCTCAAGCCAGCGCTCTGTTCTTTCTCCATCCTGGTCAGGCAGGGAGGCCATCTTTTTCTGCCAGAATAACTCCCAGCTGAGACTGGTGCTGAGTTAGCTAGGCTTATGAAAGAGACTAGCTCCTGGGTGGCAGGCATGTGCAGGACAGCAGGACCCAAGCAACCGCAGGCCTCACTCCCTGACAGGAAGTACAATGGAGGCCTTGGGAGTCTCCAGGATACACCATTCCCCTCCACGTGCATGGAATGCGCCAGCCCGCACACACATGTGTACACATATGACACACATGCAGATGCAGGAGAACAAGGCGAGCGCCTAGTCTTCTTCCTGGTGAGCAGGAGGCTCTGGTTCAACAACTAACCTGGGGGCCAGGGGCCAGTGGGGTAGGGAGGGGGTAGGTGTTGAAAGTCAATTTGTGTCCTTAGCTCTGAGGGACAAGGCTGTGGAGAAGTCACTTCACATTTCTCAGCCTCAATTTCCTCCTCTATAAAATGACATTCTCCATGGAGCTACGGAGAGACACATATATAAGGCAGTGGGAGCTTAAAGAAAAAAATAAAACTAAATACATCCTGGGAATGCTTGTTATTGGGCTGCTGAAACCCAAGCCCTAGGGCAGCATTTCCCAAAAGGATAAAGGCACAGCTCTCGGGGTGACCCCACATATGGGAAAAAGGGAAGAAAAGACTTGAAGCAGGAGGAGATCAAACTTCAGAGAACCAGACATTGAAACAGATCCTGGCGTGTCATAGAAACCAAAACCTTGCCCTTTCTGAAAAAATAATACCAACGTCTCAACTCTAACGCTTCCTAGTAAAACCAGTCACAGGGAGAGATCACACAGCCTGGCTGCAAGAATTCTCAGCTCTGCCTGGGGTCTAGATTTCCCAGACCTAGCTAAGCCCATGTACAACTTAGAGACTCGAGCTGGGGAAGAAATGAAAGAGATGTCAGAGGGCGGTGGATTCTGCACCTTGGACACACTCCTGTTCTCTTCCCACCCAACTTGCAGTTGGCCTTACAACTCTGCCACCCTCCCCTTACAAGGCCAGCTGGCTTTCCCAGGCAGGAAGAGGGCTGGGAAGTCCTACATTCATCTCCCTGGGGAGTCTGGGCTGTAACTTGCCTGGGCCGAGTCTTTTGGTTCCCGGCCAGTCCCATTTCCCTAAGGTTTTCTGGGCAAGCCCAGTAGCAAGCCTGCTTCCCCTGACATCCAGACCCCACAGAGCTTAGAGTAGGGAGGAGGCCAGGTTTGCTCAGACCACCTGGTGGAAGGAGGGGGGTGGAAGAGAAGATGGGAATGAGGCAACTTCAAAAACTGGCCACCTGGAGCTTCAGACAAACACTGACGGCCAAGGGAGGATCCTCGGTGGAGAGGCTCCAGCAGGGTTCTGTGACCTGGGAACCCAGCGGGGCAGCTCCTTCCTGAGGCCTCCTAAAAGGGTAGGCGGGCGGCAGAGTCGCCCGGCCCCGTCGGCCCACCCACTCACCCCAGCCCCCAGCCCAGCCCCGGCCCTCACCCGGTTGCGGGTCACAGTATGGTTGAAGGTGTAGATGTTGACCAGCTCGCTGTTGACCTCGTCCACGTAGGTGCGCTCAAACTCGGCGTCTTTCTGCGAGACGTTCTTGGGCCCCAGAACCCCCAGATGGCTCTCGACCGAGGCCACCAGGAGCACCAAGAAGGGCAAGCCCAGAGCGAACATGGCCCCGACAGGGCGGCAGTGGCGGCGGCGGCGGCGGCGGCGTCGAGAGGCGACAGGACACCTCCGGGACGGGTTGCGGCTGCGGCCGCAGCTTCCAGCATCTCACCAGCACCAGAACTTTAACCCCGGCCTGAGACTGGGAAACGTCCCCTCCCAGGAGCCGCTGAGACGCTCCCAGGGGTCCTGGAGGGGAGGGGGCGGCCGGGAAGGGGCGGGGAGGGAGGGGATGCGGGCTCCGGGAAGGGGTCCCAGCTCGCGGGGGGCTGAGCACGGCCCCGAGACCCCGCGGGCCCCGGCCAGGGCCGTGAGAGCGAGGAGCAGCTGGTTGCCGGGAGCCCGGAGACGCCGGGCGAGGGGAGGAAGGCGAAGGCGAAGGCGCAGGCGGCGGCGGGGGCGGCCGCGAGGGGAGGAGAGTCGGCGGGTGAGGGGCGTGATGGGCGCCGGCGACCCGACGCCGCGCCGGGCGGCGAGTTTTCCGGGGCGCGGGCCCTTTAAGAGCGGACGGACGCGGCGGCTCCGCGCACGGAACGCGGGAGAGCGAGCGGCGCCGCCGGGCGGTAAACAGCGCGGCGGCCGGCTCGCCGGTGACGTCAGGGGAAACCGACACAGATTTAAAGGACCAGGTCCCGCATTTTCCCTTAAAGGGGCCGCAGCAGCCCAGCCGGAGGGCAAAGCCAGGGGCGCCTTCCCCGGCTGGTACCCCGCTGCCACCTTGTCCTTCGCTATCCCATCTTTAGAAGCTCACGTTGGAACAGGCGGATGCTTCGGTTAAGAATCTTCACGTGTTGGGTTGTTGTTGACAAATTCTTCTCTGCTCAAATT